TATGAACTTAGTTGATAAATATTATATAGGTCATGGCATTCTTTAACTGTTGTATACCTGTACAGGTCATTGTTTCGTTACCTATTTGTTTAAAAACTTAATCATGGTCTTCATACTTTCAACAAAAGTAAGATTCACCTGTTTAACCTATTATAATTACCCAACAGACATTTGCTGTCAATTGTAAACTAGTGTTGACACAAGTGTTTAAAATGATACTGCCTGCATGTACCTTCCTGCCTTCCGTACCTACCTTCTTCTTTTCTACCTACCTACATTGGTACTTATTGTTATCCTTTAAAATAGAAATATACATAACAAAAACGTTCTATAAATGTTAAGAGATTTGTAATTCACCAAATTAAAGAGACGTTCACCTTAATTCCTTTTCTTTATTTTTTGTATCACAATATTGCAAACACGATTCATTAGAACATCGTGGCATTGGCCTCAATGCATGACTATTTTGTAATAATAATTTGTCTGTTGCAAAATTTCTATAAAGCATTACGTAAGACATTGTATTCATTGAATATTTTAATTCTAATATTCCAGACATTCATTTATTGAAAAAACTGTTATATCAACATCTTAAAACATTATTAGTTTGATGTATTTCAACACCAAATATCTAAAACCTTCTACCGTTGATGTATTGTTTCAACAATACTTAAATCATTCAACCGTTGATGTATTGGTTTACCAATACTTAAATCATTCAACCGTCGATGTATTGGTTTACCAATACTTAAATCATTCAACCGTTTATGTATTGGTTACCAATACTTAAATCATTCAACCGTCGATGTATTGGTTCACCAATTCTAAAATCATTCAACCGTCGATGTATTGGTTTACCAATACTTAAATCATTCAACCGGTGATGTATTGGTTCACCAATACTTAAATCATTGGACCGTTGATGTATTGGTTCACCAATACTTAAATCATTGGACCGTTGATGTATTGGTTCACCAATACTTAAATCATTGGACCGTTGATGTATTGGTTCACCAATACTTAAATCATTCAGCCGTCGATTATTGGTTCACCAATACTTAAATCATTCAACCGTCGATGGATTGGTTCACCAATACTAAAATCATTCAACCGTCGATGTATTGGTTTACCAATACTTAAATCATTCAACGGTCGATGTATTGGTTTACCAATACTTAAATCATTCAACCGTTTATGTATTGGTTACCAATACTTAAATCATTCAACCGTCGATGTATTGGTTCACCAATACTTAAATCATTCAACCGTCGATTATTGGTTCACCAATACTTAAATCATTCAACCGTTTATATATTGGTTCACCAATACTTAAATCATTCAACCGTTGATGTATTGGTTCACCAATACTTAAATTATTCAACCTTTGAAGCACTCACCAATCAAACCCATCGCTTGGTTAACGTACTGTGAGAGTACTTACTTTATTGGACACGAATTTTAGCATAATATCAAATTTGAACAGATTTGCGGGTTCATGAATTGGCGCGCTTACAATATATGCATTAGTTAACTTGATACAGAAACTTCGAAAAGCGCAATCATAAATTAGCGCAATGTTTACAGAATGAAAAGCAATAGAATTATAATGCCGCTAAAATATGTAAGTTTGCAGTATCTCGTTCAAACAATAATGTACAAGCAATCTTTGGATTCAAAACATTATTGTATTCATGCATTGTGAAGCCAGTGATATAAACCATTCATTCATCTCCTACTATATAATGTGAAAAGAGACTTATATAATAAATATCAAATTTAAAGCAACAAAATCGTTCTTGTGTAGTTATAGAAAAATATATGAATCATTTACTTAAGCATCGTGACACAAATGACATTATTCATTGTTTAAGTTCAAGTTCTTTATTACTTTAAGTCGGTTGACTTATCAGTTATAACATATATACAAAACAATACAGAGACAACATGATACAATATGATACACACACGCCTACACACACACACACACCGTGGAGAATGAACACTAACCAGCAATCAGCTCAGATCTCCTTTTGTTTGCTTGTATTAAAAATTTGCCCAGAATTAAAACATTCAGTGTGTCTAATTTGTATCTCTACTTTTGGACACTAGTTGCTGTTGAATTCCATCCTGATTTACACGGTAATTTATCAGCGGAGTAAGTCTGGACCTGTTCAATAAAGTATAAATGATGTTTCTTAAGATATATTCATACCGATAAAGTCATTGATGTTGACAATGCCATTTATGTTTATAATGCAATATATAATGACATTTACATCACTTTTGATATTTACATCGATAATGACATCGAACATGACAATTATTTCGATAATGATATTTCATATATTGATAAAAACGTTTATGTCATTAATTACATTCATATATCGATAACTGCATTCATATCAACAATGACATTCATATATCCATATTTACATTCATATCGATAATGTCATTCATATATCGATCATTATATTCATACAAAGTATTAAAAATGACAATAAATATCGATAATTGCATCCGTAGTGATAAAATCATACACGAATCACGATTATTTTCTATTTTAGGATGAAATTTTCAGTTGCTTGTCAGACTTTCATAGTAAACAAGGATGGTATTGCCATTAAACTAAATAAATACTGCAATACCTATACACTAAACAGCTTTTGGTGTGCAATTTCTGCATGCTTCTTTATTTGGTCAGTGTCTTGATTCAAGTAAAAATGGGTTTATTTGATGAAAAACTTCATGTTATTGTCTCATCCAGTGAATTCCTATTTTCAGGAATATTCATTGTCGCGATTTTGCATCAAACTATTTATTTCAAGGATGAGTTCGCGAAAGAGCAAGACATATACATGTATAACTAAATTACTGTATATTTTATTTCAGTTGCCTCATTATCTAAGTTTTTTGTCCCAAAAAATTGTGGAACAGTAGTATTATTTAGCGATGATATTTCTCAACTTTGTCGATCGGCCATGAAGATAAAATGAATTAGATTGGTAACTATTTTGTATAACTTACACTGAGCTGTGATGTTGAATTGAAAAAGTCCTTGACCTGTTGACTGTTTGCCTCTAATACAGCTGAATGTAGTTGGTCCTCAGTGGTACAGTTAACTTTGTATTATTATTCTCTATCTTATCCAGCACACACTGTCCCCAACATCTAGGTATCTGAAACATAACAATGCATAACTTAAAGCATCATCAATATAATGTGACATTATGATGGAACACAAGAGACATATGCCTATCCTGTTTTCATGGTAATTAGTCCCCCTCCGGTTCCCGGGGGTGGGGTGGGGAAACTATAGGTTTGCACTCCGTCCGTCCGAGAAGTTTGTCCGGGACATATATGCTATACTTTTCTACCTGGAGTAACCAGATTTGGTGTACGAGGACATGTTCGGATGGCGGAGTGCAGACTGTGAGAATAAGGTCACTGTGACCTATGATTTGACCTTCGACCATTACTTTTGAAAAAGTTTGTCCGGGGCATATCTTCTATACTATTTCACCTGGAGTAACCAGATTTGGTGTACGAGGACATGTTCGGATGGCGGAGTGCTGACTGTAAGAATAAGGTCACTGTGACCTATGACTTGACCTTTGACCATTACTTTTGAAAAAGTTTGTCCGGGGCATATCTTCTATACTTTTCCATCTCGAGTAACCAGATTTGGTGTACGAGGACATGTTCGGATGGCGGAGTGCAGACTGTAAGAATAAGGTCACTGTGACCTATGACTTGACCTTTGACCATTACTTTTGAAAAAGTTTGTCCGGGGTTTGTCTTCTAAACTATTTCACCTTGAGTAACCAGATTTGGTGTACAAGGACATATTGGGATGGTGGAGTGCAAGACGTATGTATCAGGATACTTTCCTAACATTAAGTACATCCTGACATAAGTGTACTGTTTGTTAAATATAGAAATCATTACCGATGGGGGACAATGGATTGCCTTACAATACTTTGCCTTGTTCTAATTAGTTTCAAAAATGTATCTCATTCAAGTCCTATTGCAACGAAACATATGGAGATGGTTAGGAAACAGGTACTAACATAACAGTCCTTGTCATCCTGTGTAACAAGATCAACTGATAAAAAACAATATGAAAACCATCGAGAACGAAAATGGAACATGGCATTAGGGAAAAAGTATCTGGTGGAGTTTTATCTGATTGGCTTGGTAGAAGATTTAGAATAATTGTTTTTTTTAAAATATTTTTTTAACAATTTTTCATATTTTACTGTAAAACAAACAATTCAATAATGATATCGTCTACCTACGAGCATTTCTCCACATCCGTTTCCATTAGCGGAAAGATTATACAGTTAAAGCAGTTAATCATTACGGCTGTGACTATCGTTTCGTTTCGACCTAAAATTGAGTCTGGAAGATACAAAAAAATAAAAAAATAAACAGGAGATAAAATTAAACGGGACTATATCAGAAAATGTATTTAAACATATCTTGTTTTTACAAAGTCGCATATGCGTTCATAGTTATACAATTTTTGTATGTGATAGTATTACAATCAAACAATGCTTTTGAATCAATTGGTTGTGATAGGAGAATGTAAGTTCATTAAACCCTTTAATCATATGAATTTAGAATTAGAGGATTTATTGTGAATTTTAAATTAATAACGAGTAAAGTGTGTATAATGTCAACCCTGCTATTTCTCAAAGATTTAAGTGTGGCCATCAAGGTTACGACAAAAATCAGGGACTAAGGAATCCACTAGCAGAGTCTACTACATTGTATCTTGAAATTATTATATGAATTAAAGAAAAAATATAACACCAAAGTTTTGAACAAAACTGTAACTTGACTCAAAATCGCTGAAACCACTGAAACTAAGACGAAAACTAAACAAAGGAAATGTTTACACGGTACAATGACAATAAGACCAGGCGTTCCGGAAAAGTGGGCGTATTCAATTACACTACTGGCGTTTTGAAAATATTGAAAAAAAAAAAAAAAATCTAATTGCACTTAACTGAATTACTTGGCACTGGTTCCCATTCTGTCGTAGTTTGTGGTAAAGTAGTTGAAGCTGTAAATACAAATGGCATTATATATAGTTATTGTAAGCATATACATTTGTATCGATATTATATCAAATACGTTTTGGAATATTTACCAGCTGTATTAGAAACGATTTAGGCATCTAGGTTTAGGTTAAATGTGCTATCTTTATTATTTTCAAGTTTCAGATCATTGTCGTTCCGTATTTTGTTTTTTACATAAATGTTCGAGATATTTATTTCTGCTGTGTAGTAAGTGATAGAATATTTTATTTGAATATTGAAAAAAATCATCAAGTGATTGTTTACATAGATTTTAGATCATATCAGTACATACATATATTTATATGTACCTGTACGGGAGTGACCTCTTGCGGTAATTGTTATGACTTTGGAAATAGAAATAAAATGATTTTATCAATATTTAGATAGCAAACACTTGTAATTAAACAGATTAAGTAATCAAAATTATTCTACATTCAGCATTCATATTGAGACTTTACAGTTATTAAAATAATTTACATATAATTTCCACATTGGAAGACATTACAACAAAAACCACTGATACATACCCGTTCATATAACTATTACGAAATGTTTATAAAATCATTGTATAGTATTTGAGTAATAAAATTGAGAGATAAACACTTACCTGTATCTATTGCAGCAAGGGAAATGACTGTCAAAGCTACGACCAAAGAGGCGATTATCATTCTTTGTCGAGACCACTGACTCGGCTTTGTCTTTCGTTCATCTAACAAAGACATAAATCGATCTAAAAATATAATTAAGTTATTCGACTCACGAAACAAATAAAATACAAAATAACGAAAACACCTATTTCAGAATAAACATTCCTATCATCAAAATACTTCTTCAAACTGACCTTAATCAACACATGGATACCTACATTGTATATATGAAGCTCCTATGCGTTCGAGGGAAATACTTGACATTCTGTTTACCAGTATGATGGCATTAGGAGACACATTTAACGACCTCTGCATATTTGTGGGCTTCTATTTTGTTCACTGCATATAGGTTTATTGAAGAAATTAAATATAATCTGAAGCCCCCATTACAATACTTGGGACATCAAAAGTAGTGTTCATGTATATTTGTGAATGTCTACTGTATATGGGACTCCAATTGCTTCTGCTTCCCTAATTGCAATACTGGGGACCTAATTTGCTTCCAATCTATCGTGGGCTTGCTAAACCTGTAACTGTCATTAACCATATATATTGATATTTTAAGACTTAAATTCATAAACGAAATAAACAATTTTTAAATAGCATTTAATTTCATCGATACACTATTATGCATGAATACAAATATATTTATAAACATTCCATTGTGCTTATAATATGTACTCGACTTACCTTGTTGTCAAATTCTAAGTGGATATCGTCCATGCTGGATAGATCGATGCTAGGGACCGACAGTGCCCATTTCCTGGGGTATGCTGTTTATTGCAGCATGTTTGAACAACTTACACATAAAATATAAATGAACCATTTTTGACACTGGTGTAATAGCGCTTGAGGTGAATGTATGCAATCTTCCGTAACAATTATTATCAATATATGTAAGCTACATATTGGGGCATTTAAAAATGGCAAATTATTTTTGGAAATTACAACAAATGGTCTATCATAGCATTGGTGAATACAGGATACATGTACTTGCAGGTCACGACTTAAAGTTACAGCACAATTAATGCTTAACGGTTGATAACCTGACATGATCGAGGTCATATGTATATTTCTTAAAATACATCAATGGCCTAATATCATGAGATAAAAAAACATTGACATACAAAAACTGCTATAAAGCAATGTCAGGGTATCTTTGCCAACAATAGACTGACGTCACGAAAACTAGGTCAACATCATACACTTGAAATAGTAATCAGACCAAATATATATGTATATAAATTAAACTTAATGTTTTTTTTGTGCTCTGTGTTTGTTTTGTTAATTTTATTGTCTTAGAAAACAAAAAGAATAGGGTGGGGACAGTTGCTTCCAAATGGTGTCAATATTGTTTTTCATAGAAAGGCATATGTAGAATCTATGGTATGAAATGTTTACAGCAGAAACAATACTATGGCAAAAGACTGATACCTGATCAGAATCACGACAAAATTCGAGTAGGTATTAGTTTCGCTCTATTCTCGATGGGTCAAATTAACACTTTTTTCGTTCTACTTACTTTAAAGTTGTAGTATACAAGCACATCATTTTATTTGTGCCGATATCATCAATAACATTTTCAAACTTTTCTCAAATTCTGTCAAAAGTATTTCTTTTAATAATTAAAGGAATGTGGTTTTTTTTTTGTGTTTTACGTCCTATTTGCAGCTATATGTATGTTCATTTGAGGACGTGCCAGGTTTTGGTGGTGGAGGAAAGCCTGAGTTCCCGGAGAAAAAACATCGACCTACGGCGACTGCCCCACGTAGGTATCGAACCCGCGACCCAGTGGTGGAGGCTAGTGATAGCTGAATGTCAGACGCCTTACATGTAACCACTTGGCCACGCGGTCCCAGCAATGGTAATTGGATAATGATAGCCAAGTGTTGTTCGGTCCGAAATACATGAACTTTGAAAAAACACTTCCAATTTCAGGTTTTGTTTGATTTAATCTTCAAAACAACATGTAGAAAATTGAGCGAACGTTGTAAGGAATAGGGCTATTTTAATGGGTCTGAGGGACGAGTTAACTTCAGAAAGTATGGGGTGGTAGGTATTTGCTTTTTCGAGATTTAAACTAATAAAATTATGTTTTTTTCGGTCTGATTAAAAAAATTCAAATGTTTCATATGCTTGAATTAAAATACCATTAGGAACGAAGGATATCTTGTTGAAGAATATGTTGTTAGCGTACTGAATTGTTAGAGCATAAATAACGTAATACATTAATTAGTATCATTACCCCGATAACGTAAAAACGTAAATACATTAAAATACCTACGCTAAAGTTGTCAACCATTCATAAGTTGAATCATATTAACATTAATAACGCAAAGTATGTTTTAATTTACGTTTCGTTACATCAGTTATATATCTGATGTCTTCGTTGAAGCTGCTGAACACAACATTGTCATAGTTTTGTTAATATAACGTATAACAGGTTACTGGTTTGCCTCGATCAGGACTAATTCCCTCGGCCTTCCATCAGTGGGGAAGTAGATGTGGTCGCGGGGAACCTGAAGCATGCTATATCCCTAAAAACCCTTCCTTTATTTACTGTATTTGAGATGCGTCATCTATGACTTTTTGTTTCCGCAAATCGGAATTATATTCAATGTATGATCCAAAACTGTCTCACAAACTTGTAAATGTGCGCAGGTGATAAATATGAGTGAGGCACGTACATGCACGCATGTACTTATGTAGCATACATAAAGTCAAATATATCAGGTATACTGTTCTACGTGTATGATGTAGTCCATATTCAAGAGAGGCCGATAATTCAAATGTAAAGCTGTCCCAAACGTTGGATTTTTTAGTATTGTACTAAATAACGTTCTTTTGTTTCAGTAACGCACGATGTATCGCATTTTAATTATTTACTGACATCTGGTTGTGGCTAGATGCAAACTGGATGCCTTTACATTCTTATTTTACTAAAGTCTTATCAACAATCCTTATTTAAAAACGTACCTATTATTTGATCTAGTTATTATTCCACACGTATCGATAGCTTGGGTGTCTATTGTTTTAGTTTGAATAATTATTTGCTTACGTTTTTACGGAAATCGTTCGATAACTAAGACTGTATCAAGTGAAATTACAAGTGTACGTTGTGAATAAACATGAAGGTTTTGAAACCCATAGTAAATGCAAAACATCGACAAAATATAACTGGAATTCTATACATATGCAACATTCCAGATTATAAATTGGAGTTACCTCCCGTACCCGGTAATTTTAGAAGGCTACGGAAGTTAACGTGTCTTCTCTTCACTACATATTCGAAACAAACAACACAACGAGCAAATCACATTTGCCCGACCAGGCTGTCGTGAAAATAGAGAATAGAGAAAATAGATTTGTAATTTCGTTGATTTCGTTGGTACTCTTCATCCACAAATTCATAGGTTCACGAATTAAATACGGGTTGATGCAAAGTCATTCTCCGTATGAGTGGGTACTCGTAATCCACAAATTCATATATCCAAGAAATGGTGTTTTTTGGGGAAACCACGAAATTTGGGCCCCATGAAAATATCTGATTTCACATTACGCTAATCGACCTTTTAAATGAAATGTTATATTAAAATGTTGATATTGAAAGATAAAACTTGTCTGAAGGATGCTGAGTTTCCACAAAATACGAGTTTATTTGATCAATGCAACTCGGCTATAGTATCATTAGTCGTGCTAAATATAATTTATTTGAATACTCTGAAAATCACATGAGGTGTTCGTCGCAAATTGCATACAATCTATATTTACGTCACTTAAACAAACCAACAAAAATAAAAAACGACACAAAAACATTTTGAAGGCAGTCATGTTTAGATGAGATGCCATTTTATATTTTGTCAATATGACACTTGAATCTGCTTAAAATGACAAGTTGAATAGCTTTTGAAACAATCGCTCAAGTGACGAAAATTGTGGGATTGCTGTTCCGTCAATATCGCTTCATTAACAGCACTCACACAAAATGCAGTACTAATAAGAATACTTATTCAAACGTACGAACAATAGCTAAAATATTAAGAATGCCAACATTTCCAAATAGCAGAATTCATGAAAACTGCATGTATGTATGCAATCTGTTTCCGCTTATATAGGTATGTCCATTGTCCTCTAGAAAAGCCACGTGCCATTGGATACGTAGTTAGCTTCTTGCTAACGTAAGTGCTGTTGCTTATGCTATGAATACCATTTTTCGGGACACCTCGGTACAATTCATATAAATATGCACTTGGACGTATTCCTACTACTGAATATGGCTGTCGTGTATTTTTATTGTGAAGTATCCAAATTTGTTTTGAAAGCGGTGTCAACGTCACGGAACATGTCAAAAATGCTGATCATACCATATATATAGATGCTTTAAAAATTTTCAGAATTCCAAAATCTTCTTGAAAAGTCCTCATAAACAATAACAGTATGTCTTTCGACATAATGTTTATGAACATTTCCGTTTCTTATACAAATAAGGAATAAATCATTGTCTAAAAAAATGTCATTTATGTTTTCAACATTAAAGTTGCAGACAATACAGAGGAGTTCCCTTACTGAACTGTTTGTACGTTTTGTCCTCTCCTTCTCAGTATATCCATAGCAGTTTCATTGTAAAAAGAGCCTAAAAACAACAAAACAAAAGTAATTGTAAAAATTAAATACTAATTGTAAAAATACACTTATTTAAAAAAAAAATCCGAGTATAACTATAAATGCTATTGTATTGAGCGTATTTTGATATATAATAAAAACAATTGGGTCAGATTGTTCGAAAATTTCAAAAAGACATTAGTGGCTATTTTTTTAAAATGTTATAAATGTGATTCTGTTTCTTTGCTTTACACTTATGATTCTGAACCTTTCTTTTAATACGTTATGAAATATAACGTATTTTATTTATTAAATGAGCACGGACTATATTCTTTCAACGGAAGCATTTAAACAAAGCCTCAGAGGTGCAGAGGCCATATAAATTGAGGACCCAACGGAAAACTTGTACACTACATGTACGTATTATAGGGTGGAGGTACAAAAATGCACGAATAAATCATTGCTAAGTAAAATCTGGAAGTCGTCTCACCCTTGGACCACCTGTCTCAGGAAGTGTAGGAAAATCTAAACTGGGATACACAAAATAACGTGGGATGAAACTGGTCGAAGAGTCTCGCTAAGGAGATTATGGGCTTAAACACAAATTTCAAAGGAATAACTTGACATTATTTTCGTATTTTTTTTCTCCTCTGATATATCTAATATATCGATCTTACATTGGCGTATATCAACTTGAAGGTATGCCTCCGCCATGAAAACTGTATCGACACCAGGGGTTAGATGGATGAGAACTTCCAACAGCTCCGAACAATTTTGCCCACGCTGTATTTCACATTCGTCCATCACGCAAGTCCAAACATTATCCAAATAACTGTGACAAAAAGATACAACGAAAATCATGCTTATTCCATATTTGCTTTTATACATGATTGTTTTAATAATATCGTATATATGTTTTGTAATAAAAGCAAGTTCCCATATAAAAGTAACTGTGGATCAAGGAATGATTTATCAAACAAAGATGGACCCCAATGATTTTTGTATTATTACTCCATTCAATGATATCTATATATGATATTTGGTTTTTCGTTGCATTTAACTTAGTATCTGTAACAATAATGTACCAAAATGTTTCTCCAGTTGTATCTATTCATGATCACTATGGTTAGATTTCCATATAAAAATAAACAAAAGACATTATTAATTCATATAATCTGACACTAGACCAGAACTAAATAAGCAACACTTTACCTACCTAGGATACATAAATATATATAGGATATCTATCAGTGTCGCGTATACGTGAAAGATATCAAATTATTAGCCACACGATTGAAATGTGTCTTGTACTACAGAAGACACTGTTATATATTCTGTTTATATCTTCTGGTTTTTTTACGAAAACCTTCTCTGGAACGGAAAGAAACACATCAAGCTGAAAATACTTGATCCTGATCATTTTACCACAAGCATGTCTGGACAACCCTACACGACAACATATAGTCCTCTCTTCAAACATTTCAATAAAATGTAAAAACTCACTATTCAATTTCTTTTATTACTTATTTTACTGGCGAAAAATTATCACTTTTATAGAATAAAGAATTTTCAATATTTCACTGGTAAGATTTAACATACAGTGTTAAATGTAGATAAAATGACAATGATGTTCTACTCCGGAAAAACATCGGTATTAAAAATGAATATATGACCTTAGCTCTGTATACATTGGGGTGTTTTATTACTTGACACGCTGCCCCTTTAAGATACGTATTAAGTATATCCTGTTTTGATGATCGTAGGTGAACTAAGTTAGTTAACGTCGAAATAGATGTTTAAAGCGTTTAAACTTTTAATATATATTATTTCATTACAACTTTTAATAAATGTTATTTATTTATAACCATTAATAAATATTGCTTTTTTCAATTGACATTATTTAGTTATAATCTCTAAAGAAATATGATTTAATTTTAAACTCTGATAAATAATATTAAATTGTAACCTTTAATATATATGATTTGATTTTTACCTTTAATACATTTTATTTGATTGCAATTTATAATATTTTATAACCCTCATATACATGTTTCGATAGGAAACTACCTGATACTGTGCTACTAGGTAAACACCGATTCTAAAACCTTATACACTCACACATATTACTGGAATGTCGAGTTTATATCATTATGTTACTGGGTTAAAATTAACCCCTTATAACACCGTAATCAATTGATATTACACCGGCTATGACTATCTTACACATTATTAACACATTATACTGGGGTAAAAATGCATACTATAACTCAAATACACGTCGTAAATAATAATAAGAATAATAAAAATAATAATATACAACATTTATATAGCGCCCTATATAATTTGTAAAATTACTCTAAAGCGCTTTACAACATATGGAAAATAGTAATGGTTATAAACAAAAAACAAAGGCTTACAATCACTTTTATACATTTAAGCAAGCAATGTGCACATACTTGAACAAATAAAAGGGTGGTATTTACATGACGTCTTTGCAAGGATTCTAAAACGCAGACGTGAAGAGGTAGGTTTTGATGTCCCTCCTGAACCTGGCCAGGGTATTTGGCTTTCTAATAGCAGATGGTAAGCTATTCCACAACGTAGCCGAAACCCTCCCAAAGCATCTGTTTCCGTAGGTCACATTACGAGATTTTGGGACACACAACAAATATTCTGACTCCGACCGCAGTGATCGTGACGACTGATACAGGGTAACAAGCTCCTGTAGGTACTGAGGAGCTGTTCCATTTAGTGCCTTGTATGTGTATACCAGAATTGTGTACTGCGACCTGTATCGTACAGGTAACCAGTGCAACGAATAAAGCACAGGTGTGATGTGCTCTCTCTTTCGGGTTCGAGTAACTAGCCGTGCTGCAGTGTTCTGGACCCTCTACAGACGACTAATTAAATGAATAAATATTCCTGACACCCTCAATACATCTGAACAAATCAAATCTACCTACGTGCATTTTCTCTCCGTCGTTGTTTCCGAAAAGTACTCGTTAACATCAAAGCAGTTTCTAATAGACTCACTAGTTTGAGTTCTATATCTTTCCGCCATCGTCATTTCATGCGTTTTAGCTATGCAAAACATAATGTCAAAGATATAGGATTAGTTTATAGACATAGACTACAAATCATTATTCAGAAAATACTAAATAATCAAGACTTGATTTACAGAAAGAAAATCTTTTTTTAAACATAATGAATTTAGCATTTTTTTACGTAAGGAAAGATTGATATTGAGTTTCTTAATTAAAGAAAGAACTTTACAAAAAAACCCAAATATGAATGACATCGATAATGCATCAATTATTACGATACGTATATTTCTTTCTTTATTATATAAAAAAAGCATTTCTTCAAAATCATTTACCTGGGGGGTACTGGAAGCCACTTTCTATCGCTGCTATAGAAATAAAACAAAAACATCAAATTTAGTATTAAACCCACATTTGTCAAAATATATTTACATGGATATTCCCAAATGGATTAAAGATGATATTTAATCTTCAGAGAATGCCACAAAGGAAATAGTTATTTTATTGTGATTGAAAAATCAAAAAAATCTTTTCCCGAGGCGGAAATCCGAGAAAATGGTTTGTCTTGAATGGTCATTTGATCTCAGCGATCCTTTTTATAGGTTCGTCATGACAAGAAAAAAAACTATAAATGTTAAAAAGAACCGGCGCATGGATCCGCCTATTAAGTACAACAGGTTTTATTGTCGTACTACTTTTAAAGGCGGATATGCAAAAAACGATAAAAATCATTTATTTTTAACGTTCAAGACTATTTACAGGTTTTCCATGTCGAGGAGACAGGAAAACTCATTCCGAGGTATTTTTTAAATTGGGTAAAATGCAAGACTTTCGAGAAATCCTGACGGTGAAATTTCCCTATCTTACATTTATTGGGACGAAAGAGTATTTATCACTCCAATCCCCTAGAACCCTGGAATAAGCCCACAAACCTTCATCATATTTTTTGTAACTATGTAACTAGTATTTTACAGTATTTACCTTGGAATGTTTATAGATGAAACCAAACCAATTCGCGAACTTTGCTGAATTTATACTCTAACGCTAAACTGTATTTACGCATGAAAACAATTCATTCTTTTTGACTAATGTTGTTAATTCATTATTGTAGTTTTCAATGCCATCACGCCACTGTTTCCGCATTGAGGCATGTGACGTCAAGCATATGACGTGTAAGGTAAAATATTACCTAGTTTTATCGATTTTGAGTTCGAATTATGACTTGATTAACACTTCAGTACTCTCTTGTTATAATAACAATAGTAGTCAATAGTAAGGTGAATAAACTATTATGTAGTATTCGTTTGTTTCCTCATAAACATATACGTTATAAAGATAAACAGCTTATGTATCAACTCACTGCCTCTGTATCTACAGATACACTAGTAAGGTTACCAGTGTAACTAACGACAATTAATGTCTCCGTATCCACCGATACACTAGTAAGGTTACCAGTGTAACTAACGGCAATTCATGTCTTTGTATCTACAGATACACTAGTAAGGTTACCAGTGTAACTAACGACAATTCATGTCTCTGTATCTACAGATACGCTAGTAAGGTTACCAGTGTAACTAACGACAATTAATGTCTCTGCATATATAGATACGTTAGTAAGGCTACCAGTGTAGCTAACGACAATTAATGTCTCTATATCTACAGATACACTAGTAAGGTTAACAGTGTAACTAACGACAATTAATGTCTCTGTATCCACAGAAACACTAGTAAGGTTACCAGTGTAACTAACGACAATTAATAGATACGTTAGTAAGGCTACCAGTGTAGCTAACGACAATTAATGTCTCAGGTTACCAGTGTAACTAACGACAATTAATGTCTCTGTATCTGACAATTAATGTCTGTGTATCTACAGATACACTAGAAAGGCTTCCAGTGTAACTAACGACAATTAATGTCTCTATATCTACATATACACTAGAAAGGCTCCCAGTGTAACTAACGACAATTAATGTCTCTGTATCTACAGATACACTAGTAAGGTTACCAGTGTAACTAACGACAATTAATGTCTCTATATCTACAGAAACACTAGTAAGGTTACCAGTATAACTAACGACAATTAATGTCTCTGTATCTACAGAAACACTAGTAAGGTTACCAGTGTAACTAAATCAAAGTATCTGTATCTTGTATCCACAGATACACTAGTCAGGTTACCAGTGTAACTAAAATTGATGTCTCTGTATCCAAAGATACACTAGTAAGGTTACCAGTGCAACTAAAATCAAAGTATCTGTATCTTGATTCTACAGATACAATAATAAGGTTACCAGTGTAACTAAAATTCATGTCTCTGTATCTACATATACACTAGTATGGTTACCAGTGTAACTAACGACATTTCATGTCTCTGTATCCACAGATACACTAGTAGGGTACGTAACCAGTGTAACTAACGACAATTAATGTCTCTGTATATATAGATACGTTAGTAAGGCTACCAGTGTAACTAACAACAATTCATGTCTCTGTATCTACAGATAAACTAGTATGGTTACCAGTGTAAATAACGACAATTCATGTCTCTGCATCTATAGATACACTAGTAAGGTTACCAGTCTAACTAACGACAATTAATGTCTCTATATCTACAGATACACTAGTAAGGTTACCAGTGTAACTAACGACAATTAATGTCTCTGTATCTACAGATACACTAGTAAGGTTGCCAATGTAACTAACGAATTTAATGTTTCTGTATCTACAGATACACTAGTAAGGTTACCAGTGTAATTAACGACAATTAATGTCTCTGTATCCACAGATGCACTAGTAAGGCTACCAGTCTAACTAACGACAATTAATGTCTCTGTATCTACAGATACACTACAAAGGATCCCAGTGTAACTAACGACAATTAATGTCTCTTTATCTATAGATACACTAGTAAGGTTACCAGTGTAACTAATGACAATTAATGTCTCCGTATCTACAGATACACTAGAAAGGATCCCAGTGTAACTAACGACACTTAATGTCTCTGTATCTACAGATACACTAGTAAGGTTACCAGTGTAACTAATGACAATTAATGTCTCTGTATCTACAGATACACTAGAAAGGATCCCAGTGTAACTAACGACAATTAATGTCTCTGTATCTACAGATACTCTAGAAAGGATCCCAGTGTAACTAACGACAATTAATGTATCTGTATCTACAGAACTACTAGTAAGGTTACCAGTATAACTAACGACAATTAATGTATCTGTATCTACAGAACTACTAGTAAGGTTACACTGGGCGCCTTTCTAGTGTATCTGTAGATACAAAGACATGAATTGCCGTTAGTTACACTGGTAACCTTGCTAGTGTATCTGTAGATACGGAGACATTAATTGTCGTTAGTTACACTATTAACCTTACTAGTGTATATGTAGATACAGAGACATGAATTTTAGTTACACTGGTAACCTTGCTAGTGTATCTGTAGATACAGATACACTAGTAAGGTTACCAGTGTAACTAAAATTCATGTCTCTGTATCTACATATACACTAGTAAGGTTACCAGTGTAATTAACGACAATTAATGTCTCTATATCTACAGATACACTAGTAAGGTTAACAGTGTAACTAACGACAATTAATGTCTCTGTATCCACAGATGCACTAGTAAGGCTACCAGTGTAACTAACGCCAATTAATGTCTCTGTATCTACAGAAACACTAGTAAGGTTACCAGTTTAACTATACTAGTGTATCTGTAGATATACAGACATTAATTGTCATTAGTTAAATTGGTAACCTTACTAGTGTATCTATAGATAAAGAGACATTAATTGTCGTTAGTTAGACTGGTAACCTTACTAGTGTATCTATTGATAAAGAGACATTAATTGTCGTTAGTTAGACTGGTAACCTTACTAGTGTATCTTTGGATACAGAGACATCAATTTTAGTTACACTGGTAACCTTACTAATGTCTCTGTATCTACAGATACACTAGTAAGGTTACCAGTTTAACTAATGACAATTAATGTCTCTGTATCTACAGAAACACTAGTAAGGTTACCAGTGTAACTAACGAAAGTTCATATCTCTGTATTTACAGATACACTAGTATGGTTACAAAGGTAACTTACGACAATTCATGTCTATGTATCCACAGACACACTAGTAAGGTTACCAGTGTAAATACAATTAATGTCTCTGTATCTTGTATCTACAAATACATCAGTATGGTTACAAGACTAACGAAAAATGATGTATCTGCATCTGCAAACACATAGTAAGGTTAATTAAAACTAATGTCTCTGTTTCTAACTTTAAAATGTATTTGGAAAGTGTATTACCTTCTCTTGCATCTATTTGATTAAGATGAGAATATAGCACTGAAACAAAAACATAATTTGTATTAACAATCAAACACATCCACCAGATTGTGACAAAACGACTTTCTCAAAAGAAATTTGAAACTAAGACAATTCGTAAGTAGTCTTATCACTGAAATTAATACCTTATTATTGGACATATTGGTAAGCTTCACGCTATATTAATAATCCACTGCTTCAACGGATGTACCTCTTACATAAATCAATGTAAGTTTTTATAAATTCTTAAAAGAGAAAACGGTTACATCAATCACAGATATAATATCTTAAGGTAAGATATATTCTCAAGGAAGATAACTCTTAAACAAATCAAATGAGTTCATATAATATTAAGGCAAATCATCTAACCTTTATCGCAATCATAATGTGTAAGATATTATGTACCATTAACATCGTGCAGTCATCATCATCATCATCATCATCATCATCATCATCATCATCATCATATCATCATCATATACACACTTTTCGAAGCATTTTTATTATCACATATGCACAATGACAATCATCATCATCACTTGCTCTTTCTAAATGATTATGATGAACAGGTGTTACCAAAATACATTTTTTTCGCTGGAGCATTACCATTGTGGAGCACAATGAGATTCTTTATGGAATATTTACAAGATTTTCCTTCCGGGTTTGTTTGTTTTAAAACCAAGCAGTTGTCGCTAGGTTTTGGGATCGGTCAATCAGTGTGTGGAACTCTTTACATATTCACTTCACTTACGTTAGCACATCCAACGTAAACGTGAAAATAAAGACGAGTGTAAAAACTCGGTAACATGTTACTGTATCTACAGATACACTAGTAAGGTTACCAGTGTAACTAACGACAATTAATGTCTCTATATCTACAGATACACTAGTAAGGTTACCAGTGTAACTAACGACGATTAATGTCTCTGTATCTACAGATACACTAGTAAGGTTACCAGTGTAACTAACGACAATTAATGTCTCTGTATCTACAGATACACTAGTAAGGTTACCAGTGTAACTAACACTCGGTAACATGTTAAAGTTTACCGAAATTACAACATATGTCATGTCATTATTTTCATTGATTTGATTGGTTTTAATCAAAGGTGTTAAACACTTACGAATAAGACCCGTTGCCGAGCCCACGAACGTGCATATCATTAATGTGATAATGATGATATGTTTTCTTTTCGATGTTCCCTTGGAATCTGAATTTCCATAAAATAAAGAATTGTCATAACATTTCATGTATAAAAAAGAGATTAACTCTTTTGAGAGTAAATATAAAAAAAGTTATTTATTTTAATAACCGATCTACATCTCAACTAAAGTTTCCTGTACCTCCGAACAACCGTTGATTTTCGCCCTTGAAGAAAGCGTGGAGGCCGAAATATTGGGACTTATAGTGACATTTGTTCTATATTTTTTTTTTATATTTTTTTCCCTTTTGAAATTATCTGTTGTTTATGATGTGAAGTTTGATGGATAGAAAAAACATACTGAACATTGAGATACAGTATTTATTTCAACCAAAATAAATACATATATAAAAATCTAACACGCAGATTGATAGATTGATTTCGAATGTCATTGTATATAATAAAACTAAGGTCATTTCTTAAATTTCAATTCACAAATATTTTAAATGGTAACAAATATTGTAAAACCTACCATTTGGTTTTCCTTCTGGAGATTTATTGTAATTTTCGAAATCTTGGGTCTTTGGTTGGTTATGTATTCCAGGATTTGAGGGCGTTGTTATATTTGTGGACGGACTATTTTCATTTATAGGCTCTAACTTAATTGGATTTTCTTTGCTCATAGCCGAGTCCTGAAAACAAAAACTGGAAAAATAATATCAGCAACACACCAAGAACAAAATCCGAATTAAGAAAGTGACAATACACAACTAAACACCTATATAAACCAAGGAGTCACACAAAGCTAGAACGAAGACAATAACATTCACAAACACGGGAAAATATCAACAGGAGCCGAGGCGATGACAAACAGAAATCACAACAAAACCTGACAAACTCGGAAATACTACTAAATGAACAAATGAGATTTGATATTAATACAGTGAGACACCACAAACCCTCCTAAACAACACTGAAATATAATATCACCGGAACAACGCCATAAGCATACAGAAAACCCCACCACGAACAAGCATGATCATACAAAAAAAAGCTCTTAGAAATTCCCAAGCAATTAAATGATACGAAGAAACTCTCCTAAACAAAACACTAATACAGCAACAGGAACCAAGAGCAAGCTGCAATGTAAAAAAACCCCCAAAAAACCCCACACGAATCTTCACAAACACACAAGAAAGTACAACAGCCAACGACCCAACGCCAAAACAAACTAAAATAAACACCACGACACTTCAAAAACAAACATGATAAAATTGTAACCTAGGAAACAATCAAACGATGTCATAGACCCACCATAACAAATACGACAAGGATTTAACCGGACCCGAGAAGTTGCTAAATTATAGAGAAAGAAGAACCCTCAAAATAGAACACGACAATACAATAAAAGGAACATAGAAGATCATAAAACAAATTTTTAACCTCATAAAATCTCACATATAAACATGAAAAGAAAAACCAAAGAAAATTGAGTAAAAGACATCAAAGCATATCAACAAAAAAATGCACGCAAAAATCCATCATAATGAACCCAAGAGGCGTTAGAAAAAACAAACCCTCACAAACATAACATAAAACATGCATTTTGTTTAAAATAGAAGTTTAAAGACTGGTGTTTCACCACCACATGTGGATTCCGTCCAGAAGAAAAAAAATGAAAGTATGTGCGTTTTAAAGTACGACTGAGTAATATGCCCCGGTGAAATTAATTGATCTTCCACGTCCATATCGCGTTGATGTTTAAGAGCAAGAACATAAACATGTCAATACTGTTTTTAAAGTATTGTAATAAATCAAGGACTTTAAAACAAAAAATTGCAAAAATAAACAAATATTATTGACCATTTCTTTCTGATAAGACATACTATCAATCTTTCAAATATCATTTCAATCAAATTCCGTGACGTATTACGTGTATTTTTAACATTTAAAGCTCTAAACCATCTTGTAAAAGACTTGCAAAAGATAACTTAAATATTAACCAGTCAATTAGAACAAGGCAAAGAATATGAAATATCCTGATTCCCAGTTTATATATTATAAAGGACCTATATGTATTAAGGTATGATGAACTTATTTAGAAATAATATGCATCATCTCCTATATATCTGTTACCATATACCTTGTACGTATAATATCTCCATGGTTACGTAAGTCACTTCAGATAATATCATGAAAAGTTTTAATGGTATTATGGTATAACCTTGATAGATGAATATAAGGATCTTATGTAAATCAAATATTGTTTGGCTTGTTAGACATGTTAAGGAAATGTCTAACAAGTCATGTTAATGTCTTGTTATGTTTAATAATTTAAATGTATGAAAACATTACAAGAAACCCTGATTTCGTAATAAATATACATACTTTTCATAGAATATACATTCTTACCGTTTCAATAGCTGTCATTTCCAGTAAGTGAAGTAGTCCCCTCTCAGGTGATACCTGGCGGTTAGTACAGGCAACTGGAAAAGATGACTCATAACATTTATTCTGATTACAATTAAACATTAACAATTAGCTCGTCAGTTATTTAAGGCAATTGATAACTCGTTGTCTAAAAAATAGAGGAAGAAAGCACAATTAAAAAAATAAAGAGTTAATGTCTTAAAGGCGTCAACATTTACGGAGTCTTACTGTTAGTGTTAGGTGCACACCAATGATATGACAGCCGGTTTGTCAACACAGAAAGAACATACTATATGTAATACTAGATATATACCTTGCCATTATACATTTATAAATATATATATGAGCTGAACAACAATGCTTCGTATCATTTTTTGACGGTTTTGAATTTTCGCTGATTCATACAATAGCTTTTATATTTTTTAAATCAATAAAGAATATACTTTAACATTTTATATCAATGAATAGGTCAGGTATTACTGCATTATTATTCATTTTGGTAATAATGTATTGTTAATGTTTGAATGTTAGTCAATGGTTGTCGGATGTGAGAAATTCATTGTAATTATATTAGTTACGTCATGACGTAACAGAGCGTGATATGTGAAACAAGGTAAACAGTAAGCGACAGTGAGTGGCTAGATAGGTATTCCAGGGTTAAGTAATGTATGATCATTCTTTACCTTGTTAAAGATGTTTAAGGTTGACAGTGTATTTTTGTCGTTTGTTCTGACGTTAAAATGCTTTCATCTGCATATCTTATATATCAAACCTTATTATGAGTAGACATTATAACTTAAACTTTATAATGAGTATAGTCACATATTAAATTATATCTTAAATTTTATTATGAGCGCAGACGTTTAATGTTAACCTTTTTATGAGTATGTGTTTTAATTCAACTTTATTATGAGTATATGTTATATATAAAACTTTATTATGAGTATATGTTATATATAAAACTTTATTATGTTATAAAATTGTATTCAACTTTATAATCAGTATATGTTATATATTAAACTTTATTACAAGTATATGTTAAATATAAAACTTTATTATGGGTATATGTTGAATAAAAACTTAATAATGAGTAGACGTTATTATGTCCGAATCCCATTGGTATACGGTACCATTTCGCCTTCAGCGTCAAAGCCAACCGAGCAACACTGATCGGAAGATTCGACCTTCATGCGCTACCTAGTTTTCTGTATAAACATGTTGCTCGTCACGTGAATACTCTTTTGTTGCACCAAGAACTACTTTTCTCTGATTTAAAACACGTTACTGGAACTCATTCACTCACTCACTGACTCACCCACCCATCAGCTCATCCACTCACCCAACTCACGGAGAAGTCAGGGCTCTATGTGCGCAGTCTAGAGTGAGGACGTTGGCAGATAATTACAGAAGATCCTCATAACATTCGAGTCACGCGCCTTCCTGCAGGAACGGGTGCTGCTGTACCAGTACTTTTGAATGGTCGTAGTAGGGAGCCTGATTTTGCTAAAAGCTGGACTCATCTAACACAGTTTTTCTCCAATGTTGCATCGAGAAGCGTTTCACAGAAAGTGTGTTTAGCGTCACCGCGCGTTTACTGTAAGCCGAAATATAGACTCTACTAATGCAATGTTTCTGTTTTATTTGGACCAAAATGACACCATGTTTTCCATGCCGTTTTAATTTATGGACGACGTCTTCGGGGACCGTTTGCAGTTACCTTTGTGATATGTTCATTTTTGAACGAGACGTCAAATGGTCCATGGAAGGAGTCCAAGTTGATTTGTTACATGAGAATGCAGAAGACATTGTATACAAAGCGCAATAGTACACCCTATTAGAGCTTGGAAATATTCGAAGGATATTTACATTTAATAATATAATAATGAAAGTGACCCAGGATGTGTTTCCGTTTACATCTTTAAATTATAAATATTATGAATTTATTCCAATGACACAATTCCTTTCAATTCCTTGTTCAGATATATTCAATTCAAATTCAAAACGACCGTACAACGTCATGAATCTGCATCTCTGGAAACAATGTGCTGTAAGGTAAACCTGCAGCAATCGACATTAATCACAGAAATCATGATATTCGGAGCAATATATAGTAATAATTTCGTTAACATCCAATTACTTACCTTCTATTCTTAATCCTTCTCAGTTTCTCAGTTTTCCGATGTCGGTATATCCGGACGAATCAGCCCCAACAAAGACCACGAAGAAGTAGGTCTCCCGTTATGCACGCGGTAACAATTGATATGGTTTAAGTGCTGCTTGCATGTAAGATAGCAGTCGTAAAAATCAACCTGTCATAATAGGATGTACTGATATTAAAATAGAATGTGTGTTCTACCATAGATAAATGACCTTTATAGATAGACACTAACATGTGATACGTTTTTCGTTCTGTTAAACTCCTTATGACCAGTGCCATGATACATGTACAATACCTAGAGAGATAAATGGTAATTTTGAATTACAATATGATATAAACGGAACTTAAGAATTCTTTTGTAACACTGGTAATATCACCGTGATTACTCTTATATCATGAAATTACTATACTAGATAGTCTTGGTAACATGAAATGCAACAAATTATGTGTATTCGGGCAATATGATATCATATAAACCTCACATACTTCAATATATAAATATAATTGTATATAAAAGTATCTTAAATTTGAATATAAACGATGTTCCTTACGACACGTTTCCCATGATTTACCTTTAACAACATATCTCCTTTTTTTAGATACAGCCCATTCTAGTGAAGAATCTTCAAACGAAAAAAATTAGATATAACAGGCTTGAGTCCTACTTAGCATGATCTGTCCCGAAAGATTGACACTGAATTGCATTAAATTAAGTTATGCTATAGTTGCCCTGTTCTGCATCGATTAACGTTCATTGAGGCCTACGTTAGACAGTCGCCATGTACATGCCGGGAACTCCAGCTTTCCCCCATCAACAAAACCTTGCACGTCCTTAAATGATCATACCTGTTAACAAACCAAACAAATCAAACCATCGCATTACGACTAACGAGTTAAGTATGTCGACGTTTAAAAACAAAAGTTTCAATATAATATCATATTAGCCGAGATAGTTTTCACGTTTGTGTATTTCCACTGAATAAATCACAACTGAGCACAAAGCTAATAAGGCTGACTGAGGTTAGAAAAAAGCAGGCAAAGCAAGTGATATTTTACCTGTACATCATTCAAAACAATACAGGTTCTCACTCATGTAATCTTCCTTGACTGGTGTCAATAGCCTTGTTAGCTTCATTAATTATCGTAAAATATTCAATGAAAATATATGCAATCATTCTTCAGATTGGAATCTGTTATAACTAATGTTATAGTAACAGGGGACTTAAATGTTGACTTCTTCACTGCTTCAAATAATCACGTTCTTTTTGACATCATTAACTTCTTATCACTAACTAATGTTATAAAAGATCCTACTCGTACTGGACGTACTAGATCTAGCTTACTAGATCCTATACTATTATCTGACTCTATTTCTTGTATTGACTCTTCTGTAACTTCTGTTGATAGATCATTAAGTGACCATGATGGTTGTACTGCTTCCATTAATCTTCCTTGTCATTTTAAGCCAGTCTATAAACGTAATGTTTGGCAGTACAAGAGTGCAAATTTTGAAAAAAAATAATGAACTTATATCTAATCATATTTGGATAGAAACTTTTTATAATTGTGACTCAGTTAATTTAGCATGTGATCGATTTACGAACATTTATCTATCTTTTGCCAATGAATGTATTCCTAGTAAAGAAGTAAATATAAAACCTAATGATAAACCATGGATGACTTCTGAGCTTAGAAAAAAACCTAAGAATTAAGGAATAGCGAGGTCAACCAAACGTTTGGTAGATATCAATAAATTCAAATCACAGCGAAAGAAAGCAAACAATATGAAAAAGCATGCACGTGTTACTTTTTAGGAAAATGTTTATGATATTATTGATGGGTATCATCTTCTGATCCTAAGTCTTATTGGAAATTAATTAAAAGGTTAATTAAAACGTCTGATACTTTACAACCTATACCTTCCTTAGTCGATCCTATTATTAATGACATAGTTACTAGAGATGAAGATAAAGCTGAATTACTAAATAACTATTTTTGTAATATTACTGGAGTAGATGACAGTAACACGGATGTCCCGATTATTGACCCAAACACTGACAAAAATATTAGTTCAATTAGATTACATTCAACTGAAATACGCGATGTTCTACAGATATTGAAGCTCGGCAAGGCCTCGGGTGGGAATGGAATCAGAAACCATATGCTAAGAAATACTGCTCGCACTGTTTGTACTCTGCTCGAAAAAATATTTAATATGTCTTTATCAACAGGGATTTATCAAAATAAATGGAAATTAACTAATATCATGCCATTGTTTTAAAAGGGTGACAGACATTCTCCTTCTAAATATAGACCAATTTCCTTGCTGTCCACTGTTGGTTAAGTTTTTGAAAGAGTGATATTTAAACATTTGTACAACTACTTTATAGAAAATTCTTTGTTTTACAAATATCAGTCTGGTTTTATGCATTGTCATTCTACAGTGTATCAACTCATTGATATATATCACCAAATTTGTATTCCACTTGAAGAAAAAAACATACGTGTGTTGTATTCTGTGTCATATCCAAAGCTTTTGATAGGGTTTGGCATAGAGGTCTGGTAGTGAAGTTAAAATCGTACGGGATTTCAGGTGAATTGCTTATGTGGTTAAAAAAATATTTGTCTCAGAGACACCAAAAGGTATTTTTAAACAGTTCACATTCTTCTGTAGGTCTAATTGAGGCAGGGGTTCCGCAAGGCTCTATTCTTGGCCCACTTTTATTTCTTATATTTATTAATGACATAGCAGAAAACGGAGGAAACTCCTGATTACTTCAATCATCTTTTGCCGCCTTTATCTGGAGAAAATAATCGTTACGCTTTACGTAACAATAATAACTATAGGATTCCTCCTTTCAGATTATCTCTTACTAATTCTTCTTTTCTACCTTCTACTCTTCACTTTTGGAATAACTTCGGTTCGATCCCTACCCTCTATTAATTCATTCAAATCCTGTTTAACATCAAATATTTAGTCAAGTCCACCTATTTACTTTAAAATCGGAAATCGTAAACTTAATATCTTGCATACTAAGCTCCGACACCAGTGCAGTTCCCTTAATTATGACCTTTTTAGAGTTAACCTTGTTAAGAGTGCATCTTGTAATTGTGGTCATCCTTGTGAGAATGTCTTTCACTATTTTATGGAATGCCAACTTTTTACAAACGAAAGACGTATTTTGGTTCAAAATTTGATTAATTTGAATGTTGAGTTAAATTTAGAAATTCTTTTGTTTGGCAATTCACAATTGTCCGTGGACCTTAATTCAAACATTTTTAAATCTGTGCAAAACTTTATTAAATCCAGCAAAAGATTTTGAGTTCAAATTGTCATAACAATTGTATATATTTATTGTCATTATTATAATGTCATTTCAAATGTATATTGGGAGAAGGCGTTGATAAGTTGTTATAACTTGTGCCTAATCCCTTGTCTAATTTTGGCAATAAATATGTTTAAGCTATCAAAACACATCTTTTGTTATTCAGCAACAGACATATGTACCTTACCTAGCATTACTTTCTGTATATTATATATACAATGTACAACAACTTCACTAGACATCTTACCAGAAAGAGCATAAAACTGTCAGGCACACACACACACACACACACACACACACACACACACACATGGTAAATATATGGTACACATGAAATTGCATTTTGACGCGACGTATAAAATATAGTACATATTCATTTTTATTACCTTTTGAAGTCAACAGTTGTATACATTGTACGTTTAAACGATCACCGTACTTCGTCTTGGTTTGTAAGTCTTACAAAGGCCAACACAACCTCCGTATATCAGTGTTTTATACTTATACACTATAAACGTATATTCCAGTGCAGGATGGTTGTCATGTATTCTGCTGACCCAAAACGTTATTAGTAAATAGGACATCATCAGTATAAGGTCATTTGAACCGAGGAACGCAGGAACGAAATTTTATTGTATTTATGTTACGTATATTTTGCATTTAGATCCATTTTTGATTGCTTGGACTTTTAATATGCAATACCGTTGATTGATTGATTGATTGATTGATTGATTGATGTATTGCCCCGCCCCCTCCTATGTTAATGAACGCCCGTCCCCATTGATGCTTATCATTCCAGTGTTACTTCACTATAATCCCTACAATTAGTTATGTTTTATATTTTACCTTGATTATCATAATCTAATAATAGTTAATCAATGTATATTAAGTACTCACCTGTCTCCCCGATTGCCTTGCCATACCTGGGGGTAATCGATCGAGCCACGCCTACAACTACGTTCCTATTTTTTTGTAAGTCGTTGTACCAGCTGATTTCCACTATATAATGTTGTCATGTACGTAGTGTTTGGGTACCTGAATCACTCACCTCATATATACATATGTCCTATATATACACATACCTGTATCACAGGTGTGTGTACGATTAGGTGGACTCAATGTGTTCACGCTTCGATGATCTCGAATCGATACACTTATTTTTTGTTTAGGGACAGACTAGAGGAACAACGTAAAATAACGTACTAAAACATGATACTTAAGTACTGGTCTTGTCTTCAAATTAAATTCTTACATAAAACACAGTTTTGATACATTTGTTTTAATTATTTTACAATCATCTATACCTTGAGCGAGTTGTATTGAGGACTGTGTAAGCTAACTATGGTCTAATAACGTTTACTTTGCCTCCGGGTTAATAGATCCTGACAAGTGGAAGTTATAGAGGGTTTCCGAGTGGAAAAATACAATGGTAGCGGTTTGTCCGAAGTTTCCTCAGCTTAATGAAAGGTTTATTAATGATTTTTTTTGTCTCATGGTTTATTTTAAAGTAATATTTATAAATCTCAAGGCATGATTTGTTTTATTAATATTTAGCTTCATCAGGCTCAGTGTTTTTGCCAACAAGGTAGTGAGCACCACGTTTGAAATTTAAAACGAAGAGCTACAGACTCCTTCTTAATACAACATCCCATCAACTTAACGTGCGTTTATTTTGGTACTATTATGGTTGTTTCTTTTATAAACTTTATCGATCCAGTAACGTATAAAAAACCATGTAGTAAACTCGTCTCTTGTTTACTAAAAATGTTTTTCACATAAGATACTGCACCGATTTTTTGTCATTTTTTCACTTTAAAGCTTTCAAACTGAAATTAATTTGTTTGTTTATTTCATTTAAATATCTAACTGAAAGGGCGTGAGATTAAGATTTGCAACTCAGTTGATTTTACATGTAATAATGTTTCCTCTGATATTTGTAAATACTCTACTATATACCTGAACTGTATACTAACCAGGCATGGTATGAACTTAGTTGATAGATATTATATAGGTCATGGCATTCTTTAACTGTTGTATACCTGTACAGGTCATTGTTTCATTACCTATTTGTTTAAAAACTTAATCATGGTCTTCATACTTTCAACAAAAGTAAGATTCACCTGTTTAACCTATTATAATTACTCAACAGACATTTGCTGTCAATTGTAAACTAGTGTTGACACAAGTGTTTAAAATGATACTGCCTGCATGTACCTTCCTGCCTTCCGTACCTACCTTCTTTTCTACGTACCTACATTGGTACTTATTGTTATCCTTTAAAATAGAAATATACATAGCAAATACGTTCTATAAATGTTAAGAGATTTGTAATTCACCAAATTAAAGAGACGTTCACCTTAATTCCTTTTCTTTATTTTTTGTATCACAATATTGCAAACACGATTCATTAGAACATCGTGTCATTGGCCTCAGTGCATGACTATTTTGTAATGATAATTTGTCTGTTGCAAAATTTCTCTAAAGCATCACGTAAGACATTGTATTCATTGAATATTTTAATTCTAATATTCCAGACATTCATTTATTGAAAAAACTGTTATATCAACATCTTAAAACATTATTAGTTTGATGTATTTCAACACCAAATATCTAAAACCTTCTACCGTTGATGTATTGTTTCACCAATACTTAAATCATTCAACCGTTGATGTATTGGTTTACCAATACTTAAATCATTCAACCGTCGATGTATTGGTTTACCAATACTTAAATCATTCAACCGTCGATGTATTGGTTCACCAATACTTAAATCATTCAACCGTTGATGTATTGGTTCACCAATACTTAAATCATTCAACCGTTGGTGTATTGGTTCACCAATACTTAAATCATTCAACCGTCGTGTATTGGTTCACCAATACTTAAATCATTCAACCGTCGATGTATTGGTTCACCAATACTTAAATCATTCAACCGTCGATTATTGGTTCACCAATACTTAAATCATTCAACCGTTAATGTATTGGTTCACCAATACTTAAGTCATTCAACCGTTGATGTATTGGTTCACCAATACTTAAATCATTTAAACTTTGAAGCACTCACCAATCAAACCCATCGCTTGGTTAACGTACTGTAAGCGTACTTACTTTATTGGACACGAATTTTAGCATCATATCAAATTTGAACAGATTTGCGGGTTCATGAATTGGCGCGCTTACAATATATGCATTAGTTAACTTGATACAGAAACTTCGAAAAGCGCAATCATAAATTAGCGCAATGTTTACAGAATGAAAAGCAATAGAATTATAATACCGCTAAAATATGTAAGTTTGCAGTATCTCGTTCAAACAATAATGTACAAGCAATCTTTGGATTCAAAACATTATTGTATTCATGCATTGTGAAGCCAGTGATATGAACCATTCATTCATCTCCTAATAAATAATGTGAAAAGAGTCATTCATTAAATATCAAATTTAAAGCAACAAAATCGTTCTTGTGTAGTTATAGAAAAATATATGAATCATTTACTTAAGCATCGTGACACAAATGACATTATTCATTGTTCAAGTTCAAGTTCTTTATTACTTTAAGTCGGTTGACTTATCAGTTATAACATATATACAAAACAATACAGAGACAACATGATACAAGATGATACACACACACATACACACACGCCTACACACACACACACACACACACACACACCGTGGAGAGTGAACACTAACCAGCAATCAGCTCAGATCTCCTTTTGTTTGCTTGTATTAAAAATTTGCCCAGAATTGAAACATACAGTGTGTCTAATTTGTATCTCCACTTTTGGACACTAGTTGCTGTTGAATTCCATCCTGATTTACACGGTAATTTATCAGCTGAGTAAGTCTGGACCTGTTCAATAAAGTATAAATGATGTTTCTTAAGATATATTCATACCGATAAAGTCATTGATGTTGACAATGCCATTTATGTTTATAATGCAATATATAATGACATTTACATCAATATTGATATTTATATCGATAATGACATCGAACATGACAATTATTTCGATAATGATATTTCATATATTGATAAAAACGTTTATGTCATTAATTACATTCATATATCGATAACTGCATTCATATCAACAATGACATTCATATATCCATATTTACATTCATATCGATAATGTCATTCATATATCGATCATTATATTCATACAAAGTATTAAAAATGACAATAAATATCAATAATTGCATCCGTAGTGATAAAATTATACACGAATCACGATTATTTTCTATTTTAGGATGAAATTTTCAGTTGCTTGTCAGACTTTCATAGTAAACAAGGATGGTATTGCCATTAAACTAAATAAATACTGCAATACCTATACACCAAACAGCTTTTGGTGTGTAATTTCTGCAAGCTTCTATATTTGGTCAGTGTCTTGATTCAAGTAAAAATGGATTAATTTGATATAAAACTTCATGTTATTGTCTCATCCAGTGAATTCCTATTTTCAGGAATATTCATTGTCGCGATTTTGCATCAAACTATTTATTTCATATGAGTTCACGAAAGAGCAAGACATATACATGTATAACTAAATTACTGTATATTTTATTTCAGTTGCCTCATTATCTAAGTTTTTTGTCCCAAAAAATTGTGGAACAGTAGTATTATTTAGCGATGATTTTTCTCAACTTTGTCGATCGGCCATGAAGATAAAATGAATTAGATTGGTAACTATTTTGTATAACTTACACTGAGCTGTGATGTTGTGAATTGAAAAAGTCCTTGACCTGTTGACTGTTTGCCTCTAATACAGCTGAAGTTGGTCCTCTGTGGTACAGTTAACTTTGTAGTATTCTCTATCTTATCCAGCACACACTGTCCCGCAACATCTAGGTAACTGAAACATAAAAATGCATAACTTAAAGCATCATCAATATAATGTGACATTATGATGGCACACAATAGACATATGCCTATCCTGTTTTCATGGTAATTAGTCCCCCTCCGGTTCCCGGGGGTGTGGTGGGGAAACTATAGGTTTGCACTCCGTCCGTCCGAGAAGTTTGTCCGGGACATATATTCTATACTTTTCCACCTGGAGTAACCAGATTTGGTGTACGAGGACATGTTCGGATGGCGGAGTGCAGACTAAGAATAAGGTCACTGTGACCTATGACTTGACCTTTGACCAATACTTTTGAAAAAGTTTGTCCGGGGCATATCTTCTATACTATTTCATCTGGAGTAACCAGATTTGGTGTACAAAGACATATTGGGATGTTTGAGTACAAGAAGTATGTATCAGGATACTTTCCTAACAGTAAGTACATCCTGACATAAGTTTGTTAAATATAGAAATCATTACCTATGGGGGACAATGGATTGCCTTACAATACTTTGCCTTGTTCTAATTAGTTTCAAAAATGTATCTCATTCAACTCCTATTGCAACGAAATATATGGAGATGGTTAAGAAACAGGTACTAACATAACAGTCCTTGTCATCCTGTGTAACAAGCTCAACTGATAAAAAAACAATATGAAAAATGAAGAAAACCATCGAGAACGAAAATGGAACATGGCATTAGGGAAAAAGTATCTGGTGGAGTTTTATCTGATTGGCTTGGTAGAAAGGGCCTGTTTCCAGTAATGTTAATTCTCCATAGGAGCCTGCCCCCGTATAATTTCTTATCTAGCTCAACTACTGTTTTTTTCTTTTCCGAAGAATAATTTTACACCTTTCCGACACCCAGATTTCATAATTTCAGTGAAAATGTATTTTTATAAAGTTGTCAATTTCAGCATCAAAGACATAAGTTCGTAAATAAAAGAAGGTTATCTCGAAATTGTAATTCGCAACATAGTATAAATTTCTTTTGATAAATATTTCCAAAACATCGTGTTTATTCATAAAACATAAAAAANTTACCAAAACGTGCAAGACATCACCTGATCTATTCACACAAACTGTGGTGTCCCACCTCATCCCGCGTCTGCTCCATTCACCTTATTGGTAACGACTTAGATCCGTCTACAGAGGTTGTCCTTGATGGTAGAGGTTCCTTGGAATCTCAGTTACCATCAAAATCGTCCGAAATCATTAATGACCTCCTAGAGGTGTCGCACGTCCTTTCACAGAACCAGTCTGCGTTTACAATAAGCTTTTCTTCTCTTGATGACTCGGCATGCATGGCCTGGACAGGTTGGTCCAAAGATCAGTTCCTCGAAATCCACTCGCACTGTTCCCCATATCTTTCATCTGGTATATATACCAAGACTACACACGATGCTCTATTACTGTTCTGGGTAAAACTGAAAACCGACATTTCCTGGAGTCAGTGTTCTTCTCTTTTTGGAATTTCCAAGTCAAGTGTGTCCAAAACTTTCCACTCCATAGTACAGGCATTAGACACATCGATAGTCCCACAATTTCTAGGTCCGGATCACTTGACAAGAGAACAGTTGCTCGGGCACAATACTGTCTTTTCAGAAGCATTTTTTGGAGATAAAGCCACTGCCATATTAGATGGCACCTATATTTATATCCAGAAAAGCTCCGACCACAAGCTCCAGAGAATGTCCTACTGTGGCCAGAAGAAGAGAAACTATCTCAAATTCATGAGCATCGCCTTACCAGATGGCTACATTCTGGACACAGTAGGACCATTCACTGGCAGCGAAAATGATGCTACAATTACAAAAAAAGTCATGGACAAGCTAGTTACTTGGCTACAACCAGACGACAACGTTGTCGTTGACCGAGGTTTTAGAGATGTCCTACCAGTTCTCGAAGCCTCTGGCCTCAATGCTAGCATGCCGTCATACCTGAAACCCGGTCAAAGTCAACATTCTGACGTCCAAGCAAATCTTGACAGAACTATCACCAAATCGAGGTGGATTGTGGAATCCTATCATGGTCGTCTGAAACACTGGACGTTCTTCCGAACGCAATTGGTGTCTAACAGCTTTATCAATGTCATCGAGGCTTTGCTTCGAACCGTCACAGCCTGTCTGAATGGTATTAGAGGACCGATCTACCAGAGATCTCCAGAGAGAGATGCCAAAGATAGGCTAATGGCTGAACGTATGAAGGACCGTTTGACAACACCGAATGGTTTAGCTCAGAGAGTCAAGACAGATCCGGATCTATCTAGACGGGCAAGGTCCGAGTTTGTCAAGATGGATGCATCTTCCGTACTGTTTCCCCGTCTCGATCTTGATTACTTGAGAACCATTACGTGTGGAACGTATCAGATATCTCTGGCTCCTGGTTACATCGCCGAACATTTAAGTGATGACGGAGACTATGAGGTGTGGCTTTACCAGCACTCCCCAGACCTTCTCCGATGTCAAATACATTCTCGACACAAAAGCCAAACGAAATATAACGTTTGGATACGGTTCACCGTTTCACCCGATGTTGAGGCCCCAATAAAGGACTACTACTGCCAGTGCCCAGTTGGAGAGAGAACGATGGGAATGTGTGCGCACATCTCCAGTATCTTGTACTACCTTGGGTATTACAGGACGCTGGAAAACCCTCGACCATTACAACCACAGGTAAAGAAATTCCGACAAAACTTGAAATAGTTTTCCATGCGGCAACGGAGTGCATATGTCGAAAGTATGTTTGGGGCTCGATATGAAAGATCCCCGTTACCATGTGACTAACCAAACTTATAAATATAGGTATTATACAATCGCCCGTAGCTATGAACACTCCCGTAAATGCGAAAACCAACCAAAATCATAAGGAACACGTTTTGTTTGTTGTTCTGTCTATTTGTCAGCCAATGTCTTCAACCACGGGGACTTGTGAAGTAGCCATCTTGGATTTTTTTTATGAAAAAGTGTTTCTCTCACTTTTTTTCATATCTGTGTACATATTCTCAACATACCGAGCAAATACTCTCGTTTTTTTGTTAATTATCTAAAGAAAGTCGAAAATCGGCAATTCAACCATAGGCTAATTCAACCCAACATTTGAAAATGTTCCACCACTTACATTTTGATGATTTTTCCTCTCATCAATAGCATATTACGTACTGTTTAATAGGATAAAAATTGGTTTGCATCCAACGCCCATAAAAGGGTGTATTCTCTAAAAAACACAGTTTTTGTGTCTAAAATGTTATCATCGAAAATGGCATTTTTGAGATTGTTTCTTCCATAAAACAGCCAAATGGCGCGATGGAAACATGATTTTTTGTCACAATCATGCCATGAATGTATTCTTTACGGTGACCATCATTTGATTAGATTTTCATTAATATTTTACATAACATGCACATTTTATCAACACTTAGACAGCTTCTGAAAGGTACAACTTTGAGGAGCCATAAAAAACAAACCAAGTGACCTAAATCTTTATACTTTATAGATTTGTGACCACAACGGCATGGGCAATGCACCACCAACAGGAAATTTGAATCAGAGAAGGGGCCGTTTTGGAAACCGGCCCTTTAGAATAATTGGATTTTTTAAAAATATTTTTTTAATAATTTTTCATATTTTACTGTAAAACAAACAATTCAATAATGATGTCGTCTACCTACGAGCATTTCTCACACCCGTTTCCATTAGCAGAAAGGTTCTATAGTTCAAGCAGTTAATCATTACGGCTGTGACTACCGTTTCGTTTCGACCTAAAATTGAGTCTGGAAGATACAAAAAAAATAAAAATAAACAGGAGATAAAGTTAAACGAGACTATATCAGAAAATGTATTTAAACATATCTTGTTTTTACAAAATCGCATATGCGTTCATAGATATACAATTTTTGTATGTGATAGTATTACAATCAAACAATGCTTTTGAATCAATTGGTTGTGATAGGAGAATGTAAGTTCGTTAAACCCTTTAATCATATGAATTTGAAATATTAGAGGATTTCTTGTGAATTTTAAATTAATAACGAGTAAAGTGTGTATAATATCAACCCTGCTATTTCTCAAAGAAACAAGTGTGGCCATCAAGGTTACGGCAAAATCAGGGACTAAGGAATCCACTAGCAGAGTCTACTACATTGTATCTTGAAATTATTATATGAATTAAAGAAAATAGAGAATTACTAGTTATTTGAAAAAATAGAACACCAAAGTTTTGAACAAAACTGTAACTTGACTCAAAATCGCTGAAACCACTGAAACTAAGACGAAAACTAAACAAAGGAAATGTTTACATGGTACAATGACAATAAGACCAGGCGTTCCGGAAAAGTGGGCGTATTCAATTACACTACTTGCGTTTTGAAAATACTGAAAAAAATAAATTAATCTAATTGCACTTAACTGAATTACTTGGCACTGGTTCCCATTCTGTCGTAGTTTGTGGTAAAGTAGTTGAAGCTGTAAATACAAATGGCATTATATATAGTTATTGTAAGCATATACATTTGTATCGATATTATATCAAATACGTTTTGGAATATTTACCGGCTGTATTAGAAACGATTTAGGCATCTAGGCTTAGGTTAAATGTGCTGTCTTTATTATTTTCAAGTTTCAGATCATTGTCGTTCCGTATTTTGTTTTTTACATAAATGTTCGAGATATTTATTTCTGCAGTGTAATAAGTGATAGAATATTTTATTTGAATATTGAAAAAAATCATAAAGTGATTGTTTACATAGATTTTAGATCATATCAGTACATACATATATTTATATGTACGTGTACGGGAGTGACCTCTTGCGGTAATTGTTATGACTTTGGAAATAGAAATAAAATGATTTTATCAATATTTAGATAGCAAACACTTGTAATTAAACAGATTAAGTAATCAAAATTATTCTACATTCAGCATTCATATTGAGACTTTACAGTTATTAAAATAATTTACATATAATTTCCACATTGGAAGACATTACAACAAAAACCACTGATACATACCCGTTCATATAACTATTACGAAATGTTTATAAAATCATTGTATAGCATTTGAGTAATAAAATTGAGAGATAAACACTTACCTGTATCTATTGCAGCAAGGGAAATGACTGTCAAAGCTACGACCAAAGAGGCGATTATCATTCTTTGTCGAGACCACTGACTCGGCTTTGTCTTATGTTCATCTAACAAAGACATAAATCGATCTAAAAATATAATTAAGTTATTCGACTCACGAAACAAATAAAATACAAAATAACGAAAACACCTATTTCAGAATAAACATTCCTATCATCAAAATACTTCTTCAAACTGACCTTAATCAACACATGGATGCCTACATTGTATATATGAAGCTCCTATGCGTTCGAGGGAAATACTTGACCTTCTGTTTACCAGTATGATGGCATTAGGAGACACATTTAACGACCTCTGCATATTTTTGGGCTTCTATTTTGTTCACTGCATATAGTTTTATTGAAGAAATTAAATATAATCTGCAGCCCCCATTTCAATACTGGGGACATCAAAAGTAGTATTCATGTATATTTGTGAATGTCTACTGTATATGGGACTCTGAAAAGATCAAATTTAATCAGCTTCCCCAATTGCAATACTTGGGACCTAATTTGCTTCCAATCTATCGTTGGCTTGCTAAACCTGTAACTGTCATTAACCATATATATTGATATTTCAGACTTAAATTCATAAACGAAATAAACGATTTTTAAATAGCATTTAATTTCATCGATACACTATTATGCATGCATACAAATATATTTATAAACATTCCTTTGTGCTTATAATATGTACTCGACTTACCTTGTTGTCAAATTCTAAGTGGATATCGTCCATGCTGGATAGATCGATGCTAGGGACCGACAGTGCCAAATTACCTGGGGTAGGCTGTTTATTGCAGCATGTTTGAACAACTTACACATAAAATATAAATGAACCACTGTTGACACTGGTGTAATAGCGCTTGAGGTGAATGTATGCAATCTTCCGTAACAATGATTATCAATCAATATATGTAAGCTACATAGTGGGGCATTTAAAAATGGCGAATTATTTTTGGAAATTACAACAAATGGTCTATCATTGCTTTGGTGAATACAGGATACATGTACTTGCAGGTCACGACTTAAAGTTACAGCACAATGAATGCTTAACAGTTGATAACCTTACATGATCGAGGACATATGTATATTTCTTAAAATATATCAATGGCCTAATATCATGAAATAAAAGAACATTGACATACAAAAACTGCTATAAAGCAATGTCAGGGTATCTTTGCTAACAATAGACTGACGTCACTAAAACTAGGTCAACATCATACACTTGAAATAGTAATCAGACCAAATATATATGTATATGAACTTACGGTTTTTTGGTGCTTTGTGTTTGTTTTGTTAATTCTATTGTCGTAGAAAGCAAAAAAAATAGGGTGGGGACAGTTACTTCCAAAGGGTGTCAATATTGTTTTTCATAGAAAGGCATATGTAGAATCTATGGTATGAAATGTTTACAGCAGAAACAATACTATGGCAAAAGACTGATACCTGATCAGAATCACGACAAAATTCGAGTGGGTATTCGTTTCGCTCTATTCTCGATGGGTCAAATTAACACTGTTTTCGTTCTACTTACTTTAAAGTTGTAGCATACAAGCACATCATTTTATTTGTGCCGATATCATCAATAACATTTTCAAACTTTTCTCAAATTCTGTCAAAAGTATTTCTTTTAATAATTAAAGGAAAGTATTTTTTGTGTTTTACGTCCTATTTGCAGCTATATGTATGTTCATTTGAGGACGTGCCAGGTTTTGGTGGTGGAGGAAAGCCGGAGTTCCCGGAGAAAAAACATCGACCTAGGGCGACTGTCCCATGTAGGTATCGAACCCGCGACCCAGAGGTGGAGGCTAGTGATAGCTGAATGTCAGACGCCTTAACCACTTGGCCACGCGGTCCCAGCAATAGTAATTGGATAATGATCGCCAAGTGTTGTTCGGTCCAAAATACATGATCTTTGAAAAAAACACTTCCAATTTCAGGTTTTGTTTGATATAATCTGGAAAACAACATGTAGAAAATTTAGCGAACTTTGTAAGGAATAGGGCTATTTTAATGGGTCTGAGGGACGTGTCAACCTCAGAAAGTAGTGGTTGGTAGGTATTTGCTTTTTCGAGATTTAAACTGACATAATTGCGTTGTTATCAGTCTGATTAAACAAATGCACATGTTTCACATGCTTGAAGTAAGATACCATTAGGAACGAAAGGTATCTTGCTGAAGAATATGTTGTTAGCGTACTGAATTATTAGACCATAAATAACGTAATACATTAATTATTTTGAAGTTTCCAAATAGGGTCTGTTCGACGTAATTTCATAAATTTAACTAATCCTAGGTGTTATTTTGCAAATGTGAAACAATATCATTGTGATATTTTTCAAACTGATGAAATAAACATATTTATTGAATGGATAATTCCCAATTTTTCACATTTAAAATGTACTAAACACATTCATACGTTTAACTTTCGTAACGCCAATAAAATAAAACAATAAAATATTAAATTATCTGCAAATACTATAAAACCTTCATACATTTTAGTATCATTACCCCGATAAAGTAAAATGTAAATACATTAAAATACATACACTTAAGTTGTCAACCATTCATAAGTTGAATCATATTAACATTAGTAACGCAAAGTAAGTTTTAATTTACGTTTCGTTACATCAGTTATATATCTGATGTCTTCGTTGAAGCTGTTGAACACAACATTGTCATAGTTTTGTTAATATAACGTATAACAGGTTACTGGTTTGCCTCGATCAGGACTAATTCCCTCGGCCTTCCATCAGTGGGGAAGTAGATGTGGTCGCGGGGAACCTGAAGCATGCTATATCCCTCAAAACCCATACTTTTATTTACTGTATTTGAGATGCGTCATCTATGACTTTTAGTTTCCGCAAATCGGAATTATATTCAATGTATGATCCAAAACTGTCTCACAAACTTGTAAATGTGCGCAGGTGATAAATATGAGTGAGGCACGTACATGCACGCATGTACTTATGTAGCATATATAAGGTCAAATATATCAGGTATACTGTTCAACGTGTATGATGTAGTCCATATTCAAGAGAGGCCGATAATTCAAATGTAAAGCTGTCCCAAACGTTGGATTTTTAAGTATTGTACTAAATAACGTTCTTTTGTTTCAGTAACGCACGATGTATCGCATTTTAATTATTTACTGACATCTGGTTGTGGCTAGATGCAAACTGGATGCCTTTACATTCTTATTTTACTAAAGTCTTATCAACAATCCTTATTTAAAAACGTACCTATTATTTGATCTAGTTATTATTCCACACGTATCGATAGCTTGGGTGTCTATTAGTTTGAATAATTATTTGCTTACGTTTTTATGGAAATCGTTCGATAACTAAGACTGTATCAAGTGAAATTACAAGTGTACGTTGTGAATAAACATGAAGGTTTTGAAACCCATAGTAAATGCAAAACATCGACAAAATATAACTGGAATTCTCTACATATGCAACATTCCAGATTATAAATTGGAGTTACCTCCCGTACCCGGTAATTTTAGAAGGCTACGGAAGTTAACGTGTCTTCTCTTCACTACATATTCGAAACAAACAACACAACGAGCAAATCACATGTGCCCGACCAGCCTGTCGTGAAAATAGAGAATAGAGAAAATAGATTTGTAATTTCGTTGATCTCGTTGGTACTCT